ATTACAATTTTGCAACAAAAATTTCTGACATCAAAGTTGCAGCTCATATTGCTTTAAAATGCATGTGAATAAACAAAAAATCTTGATAGAACTGCATCATATGAAATGCATGAGGAAAATGAGGCAATAGATGTATATATACACATATGTAAAACATCTGCAATGAAGGCCCTGAAATTCATTAAAATATATGCACTAGGTAAAAAATGTACCATTCATACCACCCACGGAATATCTGCATTCAGAATTTACTAAAAAAAAAAAATTGCAAAACACCACCTGTGACAGAGACAGACAAATAAGTCACACGTATTTGAAGTTTATGTTGACATTGCATTCATCTGGACAATACATAACCTATATATCTTGTATACTTAAGCAATGATTATTGAAAGGAAGAAAGAAAGACTTAACAAGAGCCCCACTGGCCACAACGCTCACCTGAGTAACTATGGCCTGTTCTTCATAAGTAGATTCTTTTTTCTACATATTCTTATGTTCTTATGTAAAACTTTGATAACATATTATGGCCCTATCCTACCCCAGGAGGTCATGATTTGAACAAACTTCAATCTACACTAACTGAGGATGCTTCCATACATGTATAACAAAAAGAGATGACTTATAGCAGATGACATTTTGAATAATAATATACTCCAGGAATTGAGTGAATTAATCACATATGAAAGTGACACGATTTTACCTGCACGTTACAACCCTGATAGTACTGTTAACGACTATGGCTTAAAAGTACTGAACTTGTGTAAATCGAGTGGTCTTCGAATTTTAAATGGACGTCATAAGTTAAGCATGGATAGAGACTTTTCTTACATGGGAGGAAGAGGTTTTAGTGTAGTTGATTACTGTATATCCACACCAGACATCTTTGATATGATATATAAATTTATTGTTGCGAGTTTTACTACATGGTCAGATCATGCCCCGCTACATCTACAAATTCACACCCGTAATCTAAAGGAAGCCAGGACTACAAATAAGGACAATGATGAAAATACTGAACCATATAGAACTTTTAAGTGGAACAAGGAGTGTCCTGATGATGCCCGAAATGCACTACAAACATGCCTCAATGCACTTCATTCAGCAGCTGAACCACCGGAGGTCGAGAACCAGGAATCTATTGACTTGTCTATTGGATTGTTGACATCTCAACTCTCTGACGCAATGGCACCATTTTGTGAATTAAAAAAACCGACACACAAATGACCAGAGTAAACATGTTTACTCAAGCAAAACGCCTATTGATAAGCCATGGGTAACACCCGAGTTAAAGAGAAAGTACAGTGTGTACCGAAATGACCTTCGGCTATTCAATAATAGGAAAACGCCTGAGGCGCACCAGAAACTCCTGCATTCCAAAAAGGCATACAAGGTACTCTCCGCAAAACTGAAGCGACAATATGTACGGCTAGAGGGAAATATGTTGGACTACCTGCGTAAACACAATCCCAAGGCATTCTATCTGCGTTTTCAAAAGAAAAAAGGTTGTCGATCTGGCGTGGATCCTGCAGTTTTTGTTGAGCATTTTAGGGAACTGGTAACACAGACAGCTCCATCTCTAGACATATTAGATAACAATTTCGCTTTTAATGATCAAACTGTTTTTGATGAGCTTGATAGTGAAATTACTGAAAAGGAAATACTTGATGCTATTAAGAAACTAAAACGTGAAAAGTCACATGGTCCAGATTTACTGTTGAATGAATATTTTATAGAGTTTCAGAATTATATTTTGCCTGTCATACGCAATCTGTTTAATAGAATATTTACAACTGGTATATTTCCAAATACATGGTCTGAGTCTATTATTGTGCCAGTGCATAAGAAAGGAGATCTGTCAGATCCCAGTAACTATAGAGGTATTAGTCTAGTGAGCTGCTTTTGTAAGTTATTTACATCTATCTTAAACCAACGACTCATTTTATGGTCGTATAAAGATAACATAATTACAGATGCACAATTTGGATTTCAGCCCTGTAAGGGTACACCAGAGGCTATTTTTTGTTTGTCGTCAATTATCAATTTGACCCTATTTAACAAAAAAAGGTTATATTGCTGTTTTGTAGATTTTAAGAAAGCATTTGACACCGTTGATCGATTTAAATTGTGGACTGAACTCAGCACGTATGGTATAAGAGGTAAATTATTGAAAATTGTACAGGCTATGTATGAAAGAATGAAATATAGTGTTAAAACACCAGGTAAATTGTCAGAAATTTTTAAAAGTCACATAGGTCTTTTACAAAGTGAAGTGTTATCTCCCATACTTTTTTCTTTATATGTGAATGATTTTGAAGTAGAATTTCTGAAGAATGATATTGTTCCTGTACACTTGCGTGAACTTAATCTATTTGTATTAATCATGTTAATGTATGCCGATGATATGGTAATCTTTGCTGAGACTGTAAATGAGCTTCAAAAGATGTTAGATATATTATACGAATACACAGCGCGCTGGGATCTTTCTGTTAATATAGAAAAAACAAAAATTGTAATTTTTAGAAACGGAGGTAAAATCAAGTCAACAGAAAAATGGAATATTAATGGGCACCCAATTGAAGTTGTCGATAAGTTTGTTTATCTGGGTGTGTTACTAAATTTCAATGGTAATTACAACAGTACACAAAAGCAACTAGCATACCAAGGAAGGAAGGCCATGTTTGCATTAAATTCAAAAGTAAAAAGTATGTGTCTTAATACAGAAACTCTTTTGTCACTTTTTGACACCTATGTAACAAGTATTTTAAACTATGGTTGTGAGGTTTGGGGTAGTCATAATGCTAGTGACGTAGAAAAAGTACAGTTGGAATTTATAAAATCTGTTTTAGGCATAAGGAAAAACACAAACTCTGCTTCAGTGTATTTGGAAACTGGTAGGCTACCTATGAAGATTACTCGACTGTATAGAATGTTCAAATTCTGGTTCAAGGTTTTATCTAGTGAAAATTGTATAATAAAAAACTGTTATGATGAACTATATGATAACTGTGACAGAATGAAAAACAGTAAGAAAAATTGGGCCTTTTGTATTAAAGAAAAATTGTATGAAATTGGGTTAGGATATATGTGGTGTGAACAAGATAGAGCTTGTTATAGAATTTTTTTCCCAATTATAAAACAAAGATTGAATGACATATGTGTTCAAAACCTTATGGAAGAAATCAATTATTCATCAAAATGTAACATTTACAAACATATAATAGACAATTTTTCTTTACAGTATTATCTTTGTAAGCCCATACCTTCTATGTACAAAAAGCAAATTAGTCGAATTAGGCTTTCATCTCATAACCTTGAAATTGAGTCAGGACGATATAATAAAATACCTAGGGAGAGTAGAATGTGCAGAATGTGTAAAAGTGAAATAGAGGATGAATACCATTTTGTTTTAATTTGTCCATATTTTGAAAAGCTCCGTAAAAAATATATCAAATTGTATTACTGGCAAAAACCATCTGTTTTTAAATTTGTACAATTATTAGGTACACGCAATGTCCATGAACTTTGTAATTTAGGGAAGTATATTCATTTTGCTTTTAACTTGAGAGAAAGCATTCTCTCATATGGTAATTCTCCATGAAATCATGATTGCTATATTGTATTATATTTTTGTAATCAATAAGGACCGCTATACAATGCCATTTTGATATATTTTGTATTATATGTTGAAATGCGATAAGATGTATGTCTTAAGCAATAAATAAATAATAATAGTAAATATGACTACTCATCGATTTGCAGTTCTTGAGAAAACTTTTAAAGATTTTTTTCTATGTATTCCCATGTAACATTGATTGCCCATATTGGCCCCACCTTACTCCCTAGGGTCATGTTTAAACAAATTTGAATCTACACTACCTGAGGATGATTCCATATAAATATGATTGATCATGGCTTTGCTGTTCTTGAGAAGAGTTTTTAAGATATTTTCTATATATTGATATGTATATATATATAAAGATGTTTCCCATGTATTCCTATGTATAACTTTGATCCCCTTGGTGTGGCCCCACCCTACCCCCAAGGGTCATGATTTGAACAATCTTGAATCTACACTACCTGAGGATGCTTCTGTATTAATATGACTAACCATGGCTTTGCTGTTCTTGAGATTTCTTAAATATTTTTCTTAATTTCTATATATTCCTTTGTATAACTTTGATCCCCCTGTTGTGGCCCCGCCCTACCCCCAGGGTCATGATTTCAACAAATTTAAATTTACACTACTGAGGATACTTCTGTATTAATACATGTATGACTAATAATGGCTTTGCTGTTCTTGAAAAGAGGACTTTTAGAGATATTTCCTATATATTCCTAGGTAGAACTTTGTCCCCCTGTTGTGGCCCTGCTCTACCCCCAGGGGTCATGATATGAATAAATTTGAGTCTACCATATGTAATGAAGCTTTTACATAAGTTACATCTTTTCTGACCAAGTGAATCTTGAGAAGAAGACTTTTAAAAGATCCTACCATATTTTCACAAACTCTTTACTATCTCCCCTTGAAAGAGGGCATGGCACATCCTGTGAACAAATTAAATCCCCTTCACCCAAGAATGCTTTATGGCAAGTTTGGTTGAAATTGGCCCAGTCGTTCTGGAGAAGAAGTTAAATATGTGAAAAGTTTACAGACAACACACAACAGACTGACAGATGGATGCCAGCCACTTTTTAATCAGAAAAGCTCACTTGAGCCTTCAGCTGAGTTGAGCTAAAAAAAAAAAAAGTGCCCCCCCCTTACATGCTTTTGTCCTGACAACATAAAAATGAAGACAGACCCCCTTGAACCCAAACAATCTTCAGTCTCAGTTAGTTAATTGCCAGGAAGATCTTTCTACTGATCTTAAGTAAGCTTTTTCCTTTTAAAATGTCTTGTTTCATCATAATTATCATACATTCACAATGCTAAACCAAGAGGGACAACTCAAGTTTTCTCGAAAGGTGTTTTGTACACATGTCATAATGAAAGCTTGAGGTAATTATCAATTCATGTATATTTACATATACAAAATAAGAACAAATCTATCAGAAACTCAGAGATATATACAATGTAAAAAATAACTTGTAATTATTTATACTATATATACAATAAATATCAGGAATTTTCCAGACACTGGTTAATAATATGTTGTAAGTTCGGATTTTCCATAGCAGCTGCTATTCTCTCCTTATCATTAATCTGTTTATTTACTAGAAAAAAGAGTAAAACTTAAGGAATACAAAGTTCTAATAATTTAATTGATTTTCTTAATAACTGAGCATCACATAGACAATTTAAAAAAATATTTTTGGCAGGTGTAAGTTGAGAGATTCAGACTACATTCAATTTCAAAGGTCAAAGAAAAAAAAACAACAACAATAGCCTTTTGATATGATTAAGTTTTAGTAAGCAATATATAACATCACTTACTTTCACTGGCTGTATCGTGTGTTCCATCTTTAATGAATATGTCCAACTACAAAAATATATAAACACTTCAGTCGCAGTTCCTTGTATCTCTAAAACTCTACCAGTGGTGTGTACTAGCATATCCCTGGAAAGTGCATGCAGGCTCAAAATATATCATACATGCATTTCAAATTGTATAAATAAATTCGTCCAAAAATTCACCAGTAGGCAAGTTTGATTTTTTTCTAGATAGTATCTGAAGCTCATCTGAATCAAGCTTTAGACAAAACAATTATTGATGCACCATGTGTACATGCTCAGTCTGGATATCACAAATGAAAAGCCAGAAAAGGGGTCAACAGCTTTCTCTGACCAAGAGCCACTCAAGATAAAGTGTTGAACAGATAGCAGATGCAGTATCCTGTATCTAGCAAAGCATTCAAATGCATCTTATGTTCAAGTTTATTTAAATATCTACGTATGTGCTCTAATATTAGCTGTGGACAGATCTAAATGCTATCCTCAACAAGAAAACAATGAACAGTGATGTCATGTAAAATATCAAGCATCAAGTTGATTAAATATTCATAGATGCATGATACCTTATTTTGTAACCAGTGAGGAGAAAAATGCAACGGACCAAATAAGGATTCAAACCCAAACCCCCTGAATCACTAGACAGGTGCTCTATCAACTGAGTTATCTGGCCACTGGCAACTGAACCTGTTTGACTGCCACATCCCTCCCTTCTTAAAAACCTCCCTTCCTAAAGTCCCCAACCCAGGCTCTTCCCTGGCAGGTCTTTAACTTGTCACTTCCAGGGCATGGCCATGGCACTAAATGTAATTGGCAAGGAGAAAAATGCAATAAACCAAACTAGGATTCGAACCCAGGCCCCCTGAATCACTAGTCAGGTGCTCAACCAAACTATCTGGCAAAAGACCTGTGAGTCACACTTTAAAATTTCATATATTGTGTTTTATAATCACAATGTTCTTATGAATCTATCATAAATTAAGTTGTTAAGATGATAGTTTGTTTGCCAGCTTTATATAGTATTAACGTGAGAGTCAATGTCTCCAATTTACATTTTGTTCATATTACTGATGATATACAGCAGCAAACACAATCATACATGAACTTCAGCACATAAAAACTAAAACTATATCCTTTATTTCAGCGTAATCATGGTAATAAACATCGTATATTTTATACCTACGAAGATCTGGGTCAGATTCATGTATATTAGGTCATGTATATCAACTTTAGAACTTGGCTCAATTTTTTTCAATCAAGTTACGAAACATTAACAGTTAGAATTAAGTACCTCTTTAAAAATAAAGCTACGTAAAGGGGTATCTTGATACAGATTTATAGCAAGATAATTATCCCAATTGGCAATTGACACCTTCACACACGACGGTTTGTGTACACTACACAATTATCGGAAGGTCAAGTGTCAAACACAGGTGACGTTTTCCAGTGTCTCGTGAGCGAGAATGAGAGGAAAATGGCGGCATTTAGCGAGAAATTCAAAATACTGTACAAATTTTCATATTCCGTGAATTTTGGTATCCCGCCTGTACACGATGAATGGGCTCGAAAAACTGTACATTTTGCATACAGCCGGTACATATCACATTTATGAGCCTGTCTGACTGCCACACATGAAAAATCTTCATAATTATATTAAAAACGTTTTTGAGTTGTCCAATTTAGCAACCATTTTGAAATGTTGCACAATTCAAACTTAACTCTGACTGATATACAAGTTTGGATTGTATACTACTTGAGTTAATCTGGCAACAACCTTAACTCTGATCAATTTAACCAAGCCTCTAGATGGATAGATACACTAGAATTAATTTCCAGTGTATTACATGTACTTAAGAACATTGTTGCTGGGGTCACATTAGAAAAAAGTTTTAGTTTTCCTAACATTTAGAAGCAATCTACATGTAATTTTACCTTAAATTTTTCTGGCATAGATGTCTCCAACTTTGTCCTTATGCTAAGTCCTAAAAATACAAGAAAATAAAGTTACACACACAGTATGACATATATCCCAGATGTACAAGAAATTAAAATTTCACATATTTACGGTATGAAAGGTATCCTAAATTAATCCTTATGCTAAGTCCTAAATGTGCAAGAAAAGAAAGTTTATACATATTTAAAACTGTTTAATTTGTCCTAATTGTACAAGAACAGAAAGTTTCCATCAAGTAAAAAAAAAAAAAATCAGATAATGATTTTCCAATTGATTTTTCTGTATTACATGCAAAAAATGTATTAAAAAAGGGAAAGTTTATTTACTGTATGACATATGTTTTGAAGGTTCCAAATCTTTTGCAATTTCATTTCAATTTAGGTAGCATTCAAATATCTGTATTTGCATTTTGCAACTCCATTTATTTGACAATATCAATTATCAACATACAAATGCAAATTATATTTGTAACTTAAAAAAAAATCAAACTAATATTGCTATTATCATGACTATATTTAGGCTAAAATGGTTTTTACTTTTTTCTGATGTACAATACTTTACCAATGAGTGAGGCTAATGAGCAGTGAGGAACTGTGGGTACAAACACCACTTTTATCAGGTAATCTTCCTCATTAAAGCGAGTGACCTGGATATCTTCCTCGCTAACAACATTAAGTTCCTCCAGGGTCTCAGGCTTTTCAGGGTCGATAATACCTCTAATCAGATCTGAAATGATAAACACATATTTAAAGCCTACAAACAGCTTTGCATATTCTAGATAATTTGTTTTAAATATCTATCTCAAGGTGCATTATGTAGTTCATTTCATAAGAGATTTGCATGTAAATATCGCCGAATTTTCTTCTAATAACTTTTTAGTAGTATTTTGGATTTTTTTCTTCTATTACTCATTTAGTCTCTTTGTTTCACATGACAGTAAACACAAGGCAACGTTTTATGGCAACATGCCTGGTGAATCAGTAAATAAAATTGAATTGAATTATTTCACGCAAAGCAAACAGCCAAACACACACCCCTCGTTTTGTTGGTGTTTATAGAGGAAATTCGAGTTTATGTAAACGTATACAATTGTATCATATGTTCATTTTAATAAAATAGCTTTTTCGTAAAAACCCACCAAAAACCTGTTCTTTCATCTGTTTTAAATCTTCATAATCATTTTCAATAGATTCAGACATCACAAAGCAAACAAAATTTCGTGCTTAATCCGGTTTATTTTCGTCCATCCGAGTCGATTTGTTTTTACTTATATCTAAAGACCGATCCCGATTATATTTTGTTACAATTTTCTCATAATTATGTGAGTTATCAGAAAAAGCTGAAAAACGTTTTCTGTTATAAAAAAAATATTGAACAGTTTTTGTCCCTCGCTTTCACTGAAAGTGGATGATATTAATTTCGGTCTGTTTGTCCGTCCGTCTTTCTGTCTGCAACACTCACTAGAACACTATCGTTTCCGCGCGATATCTCGAGAAGCCTTTGAGCGTTTGCAATGAAATTTTACATAACAACTCCCTTTGGCCTATGGAAGACCCCTATAAATTTTTAGGTCAAAAGATCAACGGCTTTCAAATTTTGTCTCTAGTTTCCGCACGATATCTCAAGAAGCCTTTGACATGTTTGAGCCTAAGGAAGATCCCTTTTGAGGTCAAAAGGTCAAAGGTCAAGGTAGTAAATTCATACATTTTGTCTGTGTGTAACAATTTCATTTCCGGGCGATATCTCAAGAAGATTTTGAGCTTTCCCGATGAAATTTTATACCATAACTCAGTATGACCCCGCTCGATCGCCCCTCTCAAAGTGTGCCGCCTTTTTTTTTATTTCGGTCATTTTTTTTTTTTTTTTTTTTTTTTTTTTGGTTAGCATCGATCACGCTCAAAGTTTTAAAGTTACTCCCCGTTTGTATTAAAAGTCACTTGGCACTATTTTTAGTACAGGAGCATGTGGAGAATAAGTCTGGTTCCCGCCACTGCGTTTTTTAATTTACCTGGTTTTGGGTTCCCGCCCCCGCCACTGCCTTTTTTCACTTCGTTTTGGGGTCCAAAACCTGGAGGTTAACAAAAAGTTTTGAGTCCGGCCATTTTTAGCCAGTCGGTCGGGAGGGGGCAACCAAACAATTTTTTTAAAGTCAATAGAATAACGAATGGAATCATTCAGCAATTATTTAATAATTCTTGAATAAAATATTATTAGGATCATCTACGAAGCGTTTTAGCAGTGTTTCACAATCCCGATATCCTGTCATGCAAGTTGATGTACATGTAGTTTAAAGTCGACCAATAAATTCGCTCAACACTGCATCCAAGTTTTAACGCGGAATGTTACTGGTCAACGATGTTTTTCTAGAACATTTTTGACCATACATTTTCCGCCTCCCAAATAGCATGGGGTTCCTAAAATGTCGTCTGTTATCGGCTCGGGCCTCACTGTGTGCGAAAAAAGCGTCCGTAACTCTTTAAATCGGAGAGATGGGATGTTTAAATTGCAAATATGCTTTTCATGAAAGCTGGATCTATATAGACTAGTTTGCGTTTTCCAGCTTTGGAAAAACTTTAAAAAACAGGATTTAACGTGCGAATTTCACCTCGTTTTAGTGGAAGACTTATTAAACAAGCTTAATCAAGAGATTGTGCCGGACCTGCTAAAGTACATCGACTCGCACTACTGGATATCGAGTAAGAATAACTCAACTTAAACGCTATATAAATGAATGAGGTTACATTTTTATTAAAGAATAATTAGTGTTGTATGATTCCAGTTGTTATTTTATCTAGGGCTGGGAAAATATAATATCAAGATATCGATAATATCGATTCTGTGTGAGGATGATACGCATATCGATACTTATGAAGAAATATCGAAATATCACCAGAAAAATCTGACTTATGTTTTTCTTTGTTTACTTAACTTTTTGGGTGTAATGTTTTAGGAATGACTAATTCTTGGCCAAATTATTCGAGTATAACCTGGTTTGGGTTAGTTTACGCTGTTTTATAATCCGCTTCCGCTGACCCAAACCAGGTTATACTCAAATAATTTGGCCAAGAATTAGAGTCATTCCTTATAATTTAATTTTAAAATCATTAAATAACTATGGGTGTAAAATTTCGTTGCTTTTTATTAGTTCAAATTTGCCGCTCAATAATACAACCGTAGTAACGGAGGTGATGGGAAGCGAGGGGAGGTAAAAACTGATTCATAGGCCTAGCAGCCTTGTTGTTTGTTTACATGTGGTAAGATCGAATTATTGTTTGAAGTTAAAGGTACATTTATTATACATGTATCTGGAATTTTCCATGAATCCCGAGGACTGGAAATGAGAGGATTGTATGGATACAGATGATTCAGCTGGTTGTCGGGGGGGGGGGGGGGAGGGGGTCCCATACCAAACCAGGTTATACAGAAATAATTTATGTTCCTTTTTGGATATTAACCAATCAGAGGCTAGAATACAAACGAAATTAAATTATATGAAAATAAATATGCTAAATGTAAAGATAAATATGAAATATATAATAATTAACACCACTTGTGAAAAATAATTTTGTTTTTTAACATATATACAACTTCTTTGAATAAATTTATTCTTATTTGTGAATGTTTTAATTTGTTCTTTCAATTAAAAAAAAGGATTTTATAACCAATTCAATATATCATGATACATATCGTATCGAGGCTCAAATATCGTGATGCGTATCGATATAGAAAAAGGCTAGTTGTATCGTCCCAGTCCTAATTTTATCAGCAGAGATATTTATTGGCTGCAAGATAATTTCTATAAGAAACGGAGTATTTTGGAGATCGACCCCATGTAAATTCGGGCTGTCGGACAGTACGTTGATTTACTTTTCCTTTATGTATACATATTATGATTACGTAAAATTAAAAATAGTATGTCATCGGTCCCTGTGATTAGAAATAAACAACAAAATTTGAAAGACTGAGACCTGGCAAAGACATGGAAACAGGAACCCTTTCTAAATATTCAAGAAGCATGCCCGTAGCAACGGTTTCAAGAAGGGGGTGGGGCAACCTCTCAAAAAAAAAAATCCGACAAGGAACACAAGCTCATTCAGAGAATCTATGTCCCTCGCTTAGGGAAAAAAGAAGAGCATGCGCAGTTCTGGGGGGGGGAGGAATCGGACCCCCCCCCTCTGGATTTGTAGAATTATTAAATGTATACATGTATATTGAAGCAAATATAAAAAATGCCAATATGGATATAAAGATTTGATTGCTTATTCTTTAATATGTTTATAGATATAGAATATTTATCACACTGTAATAATGATTTCATGAGTTTGTACACGCCAGACGTCATAACTTTTTCATTTCATATGTTGGATACTATCATTTAGTAAATCCAATAAATAAATAAATAAATAAAAAAAAAACACAAGCTAATTCAGAGAAATTGTGTCCCCCGCTTAAGGAAAAAAAGAAGAGCATGCGCAGTTCTAGGGGGAAGGGTCGGAACCACCCCCCCCCCAATCTCTCACCAGAGGGCGTATTAGGCTTCGTTACAACACGTATTAGTGTAGCGTAGCGGGAACGATAACTCTGGGTAGAGACACCCACCTACCCACCCCCACTCGGATTTGTAGAATTATTAAATGTACACATCTATATTGAAGCAAATAAATAATGCCAATATGGATATACAGATTTGATTGCTTATTCTTTAATATGTGTACAGAAGATTCTTTTTATACAGAATATTTAACAAACTGTAATAAGATTTTATGAGTTTGTACACACCAGACGTCATAACTTTTTCATTTCATATGTTGAATACTATCATTTAGTAAATCAAAAAAAAAAAAAATTAAATAAATAAAAAAAAAAAAAAAAGATCGTCCGAGATTTGAACCCAGGACCTCTCACTTGCTAAGTAAGAATCATATCCCTAGACCACGGAAGCACCTGATTAAACATTAAATTAATTGCAAACATTAGGTCACATATAACGTTTATATTCACGTTCGATATTGTCAAAATTTTACATAATACATGGTGTCTAATTTAGCATTTACTAAGCAGTTCTAATAGATGTAATTAGAATATAAAGTCCGCCGACAACCTGTATTATAATTTTTTTTACGTAATTACTCTCCACATGCCTCTGTGCTAAAACAGTGCCAAGCGACTTTTAATGCAATAAATTAAAAAAAAAAAAACGGGGCGGGACACTTTGAGAGGGGCGAGAGAGGCCGTGGGGAGTTATGGTATAAAATTTCATTGCAAAAGCTTCTTGAGATATCACCCGGAAACGAAAGTGTTACACACAGACAGAATGTATGAATTTACGACCTTAAACTTTGACCTTTTGACCTCAAAATCAATAGGGGTCTTCCTTAGGCCACAGGGAGTTGTTATGTAAAATTTCATTGCAATAGCTGAAAGGATTCTCGAGATATCGCTCGGAAACGAAAGTGTTAAAACAGACAGAATTTATGAATCTATGAGTCAGACCTTGATCTATTGACCTCAAAATCAATAGGGTTCTTCTTTAGGCCATAGGGAGTTGCTATGCAAAATTTCATTGTGAAAGCTCAAAGGGTTCTTGAGATACCGTGCGGAAACGAAAGTGTTACAGACAGACAGAAATACAGATGGATGGACAGACAGACAGACCCAAATTTTGAAATATCCCCCACTTTCAGTGAAAGCGGGGGACAAAAAAGAACTTAACTGCCAAAAATCCTGGTATTTGCCAACAACAAAAAAAAAAGAGGAGGTGGGGGGGGGGGGGACCAGCATCTAAATGAAAATTTACTATAGCAACATAGTGAGATAGTTTTCGTATGATGGATTTTCCCTTCGAGTTATTCCCCTTGGCCACCAAGTTGGAGGTCAAACTAGTGAATTTCTTCTTTGAGCAACCAATTTGAAATATGTATGGCAGAAACATAAGGGCAAAAACCTTTAAAATACTAAAATTATGAATTAAAGGAAGCTTTTGTTAACATACTTTCATAAGAAAAACTGTGTTATCTTCACCTCATTACCCAATATAAGTTTAAATTGGTTGAATAATGAAGGAATCAGGCCTTGTTGACCTCCAATATGCTGATATGGCGGCCAACGGGGAAATCGGGGATCGCGCCTATCGAAAACTAATGCAGGCCTGTAGAATGCAGGGGGGGGGGGGCTTTTTTCTGCGTATAGTATTTTTCTATAGTAAATTTTCCTTCAGATGCTATTTGCCCCCCCCCCCTTCCCCTCTACTTTTTGATGTTGTAAGGTCGAGCGCTGGCAAGTTCTAAGATTTGGACAGTAAACTCCTCCCTTTTCTTTTTTGATGGTCAGATAATTTTGGGAAGCCCCCCTCCCACTTTTGCTCAGTTTAGGTTTTGTTTGTTTGTTTGTTTTGCTTGTCAGTTTTTTGGGGGGAAGTTGATCCCCCTTTTGAAACCGTTGCTACGGGCCTGAATAGATCTACATGTATACTCAGAAAAAAGTGGGGGTGGGGGAGGAAGTGAACCCCCCTCATCCGTGCTCTACGGGCCTGAGAAGGGTGACCAAAGGGACTGCATCAATTACCTGGCATGAAGTGATCCTGCTAACCATGCCAACAGTGATTAGCAAAGTTTTTCTGCAGAACGATTATTGACCGAATAAAGAAAGTAGACAGGAAACTCGTGAAAGAGCAGGCAGGATTTAGAGCATTATAAGGGGAATAACAGAACAGATATTTATTTGAAGAAATATTGCTAGAACAAGACCCCCAGGGGCCACATCGCTCACCTGAGCAAGTTGGCTAGGAAAAGGCAGAAATCAGTTCAGTCTTGAAAAGTTTAAATATAAAAGTGGTTGGGGGGGGGGGGGGTATGATTTGAACTTACTGAAATCTACACTTTCTAAGGATGCTTTTGAAGTAATATGACACAAAATGGCTGTCCTCAAGTGAGTTAAGGCTTAGTATAGGCATTTCTATGCAAATAAAGTAATTAAAATGCCAAAGGACTTTACCTATTATACAGAGAAAGATAAAACTTATTGTCTAATACATACTTGGTACCCACGCATGATATAGCCAGTATACATTATGACGTGATTGTTCATTGCAACAACAAGATTATAAGAGTTATCAACAAAAAAGCTTCAGCACAAGGGCATGCTCTATTTTATTTAACTGAAACAAGGTATATTTAGAAGCAAAATATTCCAAGGATTGCTGGTATTGCTCCACAAATATCAGCAGCTCAGTTGTTTAATAACTATTTGTAAAGTTTTAAGTTGAAACAGGGTAAAAATGCACAGTCCGGTATAAGTTTCCTCAAATTCCAATCAAATGAGAAAATGCCTAGGATTTGTGCAGCAATTTTCTTAGTCTTTAGGATATTCTTCTTAGTAATATACAATTTTTATGTTCAGTTAAATAGGATAATCCCTTGTGCCGAAGCTGTTTTGTTGATATGTCTTTTTACCCCCAGTAGGTAAGAACAATTACGTCATAATATGACGTAATAATGTGTACTGGGTATAACATATAGTCTTATGATATAGTGGGTACTAAGTACGTATAAGAAATTAAATCAAAACTTTCTCTGAATAATTAATATACCTCTTATTCATTTTTATTAGCTCATTTGTATAGAAACGCCTATTCCTAGCCTTAACTCACATGGGGTTGCTGATTTTTTTGTAAATATACATTTAATATGCTAAGATGTACAAAATAATTCCCCATTTAGTAAAAATCATATGTGCTGCGAAGTTGTAACTAAAGAGGCCATCTTGGATTTGGTACTTAGCATCAAATATTTATGCTAGTTCTCCTTATGTAGCGTCTAGGCTAGCTCTCCGTTCAAGAGCGTAGATTTACAAAGAGGCTACATAGCAGCTACGCTGTTGAATGCACCCCAGGTTTAAAGTTAAATGCAGAGAAATGTAAGAACAGTCTAAGGATATGAAATATTTCTATATTATAAAAGCTTCTTGGAAATTGTATTTTTGTCTTGATGACATTAAAATTATGAACATAAAATTACATTTAATGTATTCAAAAAAATAGAACAGTTGTAATTCCACGCAGTTGAACTCTGTCATGCAATGTAAAAAATATTATTGCTCAGCAATATCCACAATAATCAACATCACCTTGTGCTTATGAATTTTCAATTACTTCAATACCATAAATATTTTTTTTTAATATGACAGAAATTTCTCTGTGTAGAAAGCATCAGCTTCATTTCTGAACAATTGATGCGGCATCTGCAAGAATCTTTTTAAAAGATTTTAACTTCTCCATGTACACAACAGTGTATCTAATGAATATGAAGTTGTCAGGTTGTGATATTGCTTCACACTTTGTGTATATCTAGACAAAAAGGCAGACATTGATTGCATAGAACCCTCATTTTGATATGGGACTTTACAGATATTGGTACAAAAATCCAGAATATCACAGAAATCCTCAACAAATACTGGTTACTGCTGTTTTAGAACATTTTAATTTTTTTCCTGCCATACTCGAATGCTTTTTCAAACTGGATAAAGACTCTTGACCTATCATCCTTTTGCAATGATAATGAATAGTCAATGCCTTTGAAAACAGAAAGTTCCACCACAATGTCTTTTGCTCCTATCTCTCCCCATACAGGAATCACTCTTTCATTCTTTTCTGGGTTTTCAATGGAGTCCTTTAGTGCAATCTCATGTTGAAATCTACTAAAACTTGCCTCTGTAAAGTTTTTTGTAACCAGCACAAGTAGATATCTACATCTTTGAAATAAAACTGTCATCGTCCCAAAGTGGGACTGAACTTCTGGAGCAAATTCTTCATACAGTATAACATTGAGATTAGGGAGATTCACATTAGCCACAAGATCTTTCTGTAGTTGTTCTGCTAAAGGGGCATCTTTCTCAGCATACAGAATGAGGGCATCATGTGTTTCTGTAACACATTAAATCATATTAATTAAGTATACAAATAATAGAATCTAGCTGTTCTAATATCATCATTTTATAAAACAATTCATAGTATATCAGGGTGCGAAAAAAAACCCCACTCATCCACTCGTCCTGGACGAGTAAAAATCGACCTGGGACAAGTGAATGTCATAATCTGCTTGTCCCTGGTGACAAGTAAAATTTTTGGTGAGATAATTTTCTTCTGTTTATATCCAGTGCTAAAGTCAGGAAAATGAAACTAAATTCTTCCAGACTTGACAAGAGATGTAGACTCTCAATAAAAAAAAATATCATATGTACATCAGACACAGTTTGAGAAGAAATCTGAAACAAGTTTTTTTAATTATTATTACTTGGTGAAAAGCAAGCTTTATAAGGGAAATCATCATGGAGACAAGTGGGTTTGATTTCATACTAGTCTTGTCCCCTGGGAAAGTATAGTCACTGACTTTTTTTTCTCACCCTAATAATATATTATAGGAACAGATTTTGTCTCTAAAGAGGAAGATTTAATGGAATTTTTTTTGAAGAAATATCCTAGCAATTTTAGCAATTCAATGCATTTCGAAAAACTTGTTGGCAAAATATCTAAGAGTTACACTGATTCTTCAATAGAAAATGTGGAATCTTAATCTATTTCCTGTTTAATAGTGCTCTAAATCAAATAACTATTAAAATTTAAAAAAAAAAAAAAATGATTTTTTTATAATCATATTCGCAGTCATAAATTGCAGATTCTAGATTTTTTCATTAGACTTTCACAAAGAATAAACATTATTTACATAAATGTGAACAATATGAACATCCCACTTTTACAATTATTAAAAATAAGGGTAATAATGATCCATGATCACAGGTACAACACACTTTACAGATATGTTGTATCATGAAATATTAACAGTGTGCAGTACAGACATTGCAAGATCAGTACTATCGTGCATGCAAAATACATTCAACTATATTTACGAATTTATGTATATATTTACCATGTTTACTGAAAATTACATTGTATAATGCTGATAAATTTTTCTTTAATAATAGAACATAAATTTTCACTGCGTTTAAATAATACTTACCAGCAGGGATCTCTTGATAACCACAGTTGGATTGTGTAACCATTTTAGAGTGCATGGGAGGTGTTGATGGAATGAGATCAGCATCCATGCTTAGTGGTGTATCCACCTCTAAATCACCTGGATCATTATTCTGATTGACAGAAGATCCCTTCTTTGTTTTATTTCTTTTATATAGGACAGTCTGTCTTCTCCCTTGCTCAAAATTAGATACGTTTCTTTCATATAGGACAGTCTGACTGGTCTCATGCTCTAAAGTTTTAATCTCTGTGTTCTGATCTACTGGTAGAACTTGAGGTGGTTTGGAAGATTTTACATTTGTTACTGGTTCATCAATGTTGGATGGTGGATCTTTAGTTGGCGTTTCTCCATCCTCGTCATTTGTTGCCTTTCCTTTCCCTGCTCTCTTTAATGTCTCTGGAAAATATTTATTCATAAGACAAAATAATCAAAGCTGTGTTGAGGACAATTTGCAATATCTCTGCAAGATCGCAAGATGTTTGGAACTGTCGATGTGTTAAAAAATTCAAATTGTTACCTCTTCTCCAAAGATAAAATCCAAATATTCCCACAGCCAATGGAAAAACTGTTAAAACAATATTTGATAGACCCATAATTTTAAATATCTGTAAGATTTCCCTACGTTAATATCTAATATTTTTATCCAGCCTTCCACGAGATAAGAGATTCAGTCTTCACTCTTCTTTCGTTTTCTCCATTCTTATTTTGAAGATAACGAACCCGATTTTAATAACCCAGAAAAGACTTTTTTAAAGTCTAACCTAAATGACTATCCATTTTACTGTTTTACCGACCGGGTAAAACTGTGAAGAGTCAAGTTTTTTTCACTTCATGATCCCCGGGGGTAGGGTGGAATGCGGGACGGTTCGCCCCTAAAGACCATTCGCGCTGAGACGTTTCGCGCCCCTTCCTTTAATTAAGGTATTTAATTAGCCGCCGTTAGAAGTAATTAAATCTTAATATTTATGTGTTCAGTAAGTTTGACAAATCGATACACGAAATATTGTAATATTTTGCAGGGGTGTAGATTGACTTTGAATTCTAGTGAGGCAAAAACATGGTGGCAGGGGGCCCGGGGCCACCTTAGGTGGAAAGGGGGTCAAGGGGCGAAGCCCAACGACAGAAAATAGATTAATGGGTTTTAGAATACAACAATCATAATTGTCTAACAGTCATATTTGTCCTGCACAGAAATTTCGTAATTTTACCGGTTTCATTATCGAAGACTTCAGCGTTCATATGATGCTACATATTATGAAACTTCTAACACATTTAAAGGTGAATAAACATTTCATTTAATTTTTTTTTAACTTTAGTTGCCCGATTCAGTGATGTTTGGAGTCAGCAAATCTATTGATGAAATTTGAACTGTCTGGTATCCTGAACAAACCAACCAGCCAGGTGATGATTATCATTAAAGAATTAAGTAAATTGCAATTAGTTTTAAATTAAAAAAATATTTTCTGCAATGTATTGAGTATAATTAAAGGGAGTGGTGGTGGTGGTGAAAAATTTAGTGAGGCAGTTGCCTCATTGCCACAATGGAAGCTACGTCCCTATTTTGTTGAATGAATTTACTGATCTGAGATACATGTCTGTTTTCAGCAAACGATATTTTATAGTGACATGTAGACTTACATTTTAATCAAATTAACGAAATCAAACAGCCGACCCATACCGTACGCACAAGTTGAACGTTTTCTCATTATTAAAAACAGCAGCTGGGTGTTTTTCGAATAAAAAAAAACTTTCTAAATTGGACATAAACAACTTCGAAATAAGCAAGATAAGTATAATTTACACAAAGTCTACATAAACACCCCAATTGCACACTATTTAAATCGTTATTTTATTATATATTTATTTTCTTTCCTTCTTCTATCGAAATCATGAAAATAGACGTATATGTTAATCAGTTATTAGTACAGTACATGTAACTGTAAAATGAACAAGAATCGTCAATAGGGGCGAAACGTCCAGTTACCGTAGGGTGAGGCCACAATGGGCGATCAAAGTTTTACATAAGAATATATGAAAGTGTTCTCAAGAAGTACAAAAAGCCAGAAAGGGTTGTCATACTCCTTCACACCTCTTTCCTTTCGCAGGAGTTTCTTCGATTCTTCTGTCCCTCGCATATTTAGATCTTATCTTTCTACCGTACTCTTTCTTTCCCTAAGTTCTTTCTCTCTGCTTTGTTAAACAACTTTCTCGATCTGTCTGCCTGTGAATCACATTTGAAATTTGAAGTCAACTATACATTTAGGGTATATAACATGATCATGAGCAGTGTAATTTAAACATTTACTTAATTATTTCTTCCGGCTATATGTATATATGTACCTCTTGTACCATTCATATGGTTTTTGAGAGAATAAATGAATGAATGAATGGTTAAATGCTTTCAAGTAATTTACTAAATTATTTTCGTATACCAAGTTACTCGGTTTAGTTTTCAAATAATTATGAAAATAATCAGTGAAAAGTTTATAAATAAATCATGCATTGCAATACACCCATAGAGTGTATACATGTTTATAAGAACTAGACAATTTTCAGTTATACTTCATGAACAGCAATCATTTTAGTCATTTCTATTTTTCCCAGTCGCGCAAATACTTTTCACTTCTGATATTTTCCCTGACCCAAATTTGATCAGCACGGACTAAGTGTATCAACGTACTAGGCTGTACAAAGTAGCGTCAGTGTATTTTCTGTTGAGTTTTTATGGAGTTTACTACCTTTTTGTGATGCAGATTTCAATAAATGAAATTCAGGGTGTAAATCACTTGGCATGTGCACATCTTCGAACTGGCACAGTGGTCTTTTTTCAAGGTATGGATAACATTACAGCGTTCGACGCGTTTTCTTGGCATGCATCAATCAGTCAAGTGCATATTATGGAATACACAGCAATGAAGCTGTTCCATTCTCATGATTCTAATGATAGTTATTTTCAAATTGTGTTTACGAGTTTCACTGCTTATCAATCCAAGTTTATTCTACATATATTGACGTACTTAAAAAAAATACACGTGCAATTATCTGACAATGTTTTTCTCCCAAACTTACATTTTTTTTTACATTTATGATTCATCATTTTCCGTGAAATTAAAAACGTTTAAATGCTTTTACGAAATTTAAATTAATTTCTTGCAGCGTGAAATTAAAACCATCGCGATTGGTACTTTTTGAGAAATCGTGAAATTTTAACATCGTGGAATGAAAACGACATACAGTATTTATTTCAGACTGTCTTCCAACGTAAAGCAAAAAATAGATAAATAAATAAATAAAAAAAAATTAACAAAAAAAAATAAATAAATAAATAAATAAACAATGGCATTCGGATCTGCAGGTGAACCACTTGCTGATACCCCGGGTCTTCGTCACGTGATGATGTCAATGATTTCTGCAGACTATGCTACACGGCGCGATGATAGGCAACACTACTGTGTGTGTGTGAAAGTTGAAAAAAGCCCTTCTTTGTGGAAATGATTTAGTGGAAAAGAATTTTAGTTAAAGGAAGCAGGGACGAAGAATCGATTTCAAGAGGAAGGGGGGTTGAAAAACAATTAAAAAGGTATACTTGAAATAAATTTCACAAATTGATAAGTTTTATAGGACCACCATTACTTTTCAATGTTAATTAATGTCCAAGCTATATACACATGTATATATTTTTTCAATGTTATGTAATTAATATTTACTTGTAACATGTATGACTTGACCTGTATTGTGGAGAGGACTTATATAGGCAGTGCCTGCTGTCCAATCCAGTTATGTATAATCATAATAAAATATTGTTTAAATTAATGTCCAAGCTAAATGAACGGGCAAAAGCCCATTCAGAATGAAAGTGGGGGTGCATCCCGCGTACTACGGACCTACATGTAGCAAGGATTAAGATTTGTCAAAGTATCAAATTAACACTTAACTAGTAATCAAATAATTCTTGTGATTTTCATACTTGTAAGGTTGTATGATATCAAGCAGTGTCAAGATTTTGGTTTAAATATAATAAGTATAAAAACTGAGTCAGCTAGAAAAGAAACATTTTCAGAATGAATCTGTGTCATCAATTTATCATTTATTATCACATACAGTTTGCTTGTCTGGAAGATTATTTTTCTGATAGAATGTAATGAATATTAAACATTGCAGCAAGTTACAAATACCATTAGTTTTTGAAATGTTACCGGAAACGTGCATATTCTCTTTATTTGGCCCGAACGCAAAATAAAAAAAAAAAACAAATAATAATGATAATAATAATATTAATTAATTTATTTGAAAATATTCAATATAGATTTAATATTTACATGTATCCATCTGACCTCAGAGATTATGAATACCCAGTGAACAGTATTCTCCATGTAATGGCGGACAGTCCAATGTCAGATATTTCACAGATTCTATAGATTTTAAGATACGTATCAATCATAAAGCGGAGGAATATTTTTTTTTTTCGTAAGTACATAAATTATGATTCGTTGTTTGCTCGTATGAATTTGTATACTCTGATGGGGTTTAACGGTAAAGTTAAACGAACAATCACCCTAAACCAAATTTATAGCCATTTGTTTGTAAAAAGAACCAATTCCTGTAAATAGATTTTCTCTGTGACAGATTTGATTCAAAATAGCGTTGGATCTTTAACTGATGTCTCCAACATGTTTAGATCTTCCTCCCTCCCTCCCTCTCTCCCTCTCACTCTCTCTCTCTCTCTTCAAAATCCCATGCAATATCAGTCATGGTAACGTGAAGGACAAGAAGAGATGTAGAATTTCTTTTTCTCAGAAGGGCGAGGGAGTGTTTGAATAATTCAGATTCGTGATTTTTTGACGAGAAAAAAAGAAATCCTTTATGTATGTGTCCTTTCATAAATGACTCTGATTGTTTTTATGGGGTGGGGGTGGGGGGGGGGGGTGGCAAAGTAATTTGTTAGTTTCCTATTTGTGTAAATGTATTAACTAAAAATTCTAGGACTTTAGGGTTTAGTTTAGTTTGGAGACTTTATACATCCTTACGAGTATATTGGGCTACACTCACAGATAAGATACCATAGATAATTGTATTTACCATGAGTTTGTATTTACATCAAAGTGCTTTTACGCTTGGGGATGGTTTGAATCCCCAAATTTTAATACATGTAATTTTATGTCCTCCAATCTTCCATTTGTCACACTATGCATTTTGCTCAGTTTCAAAGAAGCTGTTCACATGCAATATTCGAACCGAAATTTATATATTGATTCAAATTGATGTAAGATGTTATCTCTGGCATCATTTACTTATCTTGAGTTTTCCTATGACTTTGACCTTACTATTCTTTGTTTTGTGTTAAGCTCAGTTTCAAAGTAATATCATTCAAGATTTTTCTTGTCATAACTCACACACTGATACATATTATTGCTGGGAATTTTCAACTGCATCATTATTTTCTGCACTGTGACCTTTTCCTTGGCCTCATTATTCCCCATTTTATTAAACTGTGTCATAATTTTCTGACTTTAACATTCCCTATAACCTTCATCTCACTACTTACCATGTTGAATTTAACTTATTTTCAAAGAAACTGTTTCATCAAACTTAAAAAGATGCATCTTTATAAGACCTATTCAATTGTGTCAATATTTTCTGGCCTTGACCTCACTATTAATTGTTTT